GAAGTACTTAAATTTGTAAGGCATTCAACTTTACCGATAACGCATTTTATCTTTCAGTGCTAGATAGCACACGAAAGAATAAACATCCTGAAACTTAAAACTTAGACTTTCTACATTTTTATAACTTAAAAAAACCTTTCTCCTCTATACTTATAATATTGACAATTTATATTATCTTTTTAACGTAGTACGGTCGAATGGGCCAAGAGGAACGAACAATGGCGATGGTGACCATCGGAGGTGGACTTTGCGTAAAAATTCTAAAACGTACTGCCAACTTCAACACTCATAATACAGCATCGAATTCAACGTTGAGTGACGGTTCTAGATTTGTAATACCAAAAAAAACGCGATTGTTTGTCGAGCAAACGATACGCGAGAGGTCAGAGGCGAAGAAGATTCACACTACTTTTCAACAAGGTCTTCTTCGACTACGACTAATGGTGGCTAAAAAGGCAGTCGAATCTTTGAATAACAGTCAAGGCGCTGGATCACATATGATTACCATGGAAGCCACCGTTTTAGGACTAGGACCGAATTACCAGATTCGAGTATCACTCACTAATATATCCGACGAATTGTCCGACACAGACTTGTACATCGTTTGTAGAAGCGAGAACACGGATGTGAATCCACACGTGTCGGATGTGCCTCTGTTACCAAGCGGAATTCCGATTCCTTTGGTCGTTCGTGCATCTTTAAAAGGCATAATATCCGGGAAAGTGGAGATTCTGCTGTGTAAGAAATCAAGAACGAAACCACTAATTGTGACGACAGTGATCTTGCCTGCTGCCGAAGAAGACATCGAAGTTTAATCTTCTAAGATGTAAATACAGATTTGTTAAATGATATTTTCTATGTAACTTCTTTAATAATTTTCATATATATATAGTGTGTGTATAATATAACGATGTGATTTGTGTAAATTTGGAAGATAAATTTTGTAATTGCATTATAAAAATTGTATGTCGGAATGTTTGATTCTTTCCTTTTTATATGTAGATTTTTTGTATTATTATGGGATATTCTATTTTTGGAAGTATTATTTGATCAATAGTATTAAATTTTCAGTTATACGTTTACTTTAGTTCTTAGTTAAGAAAATTATATAAAATTGATGTTATTTGTAAATGTTTAAAATATCGCGGGATTCCCATTGGTTGTCGGTAAAATCACCATCCTTTGTACCTACTCCACCCTTTGCTATTTATATGTCGTCCACTACAGCTGATCGAAGGAGAACCCATATAAACTGATAGACTAAACGCGCAAACATTGCGGGCTGGTCGCAATTATTTATTGTCTGTGCAAAATGTACAGTCATCATACCAACACGAAGATGATCAATAATTAATAAGAAGTGAATGGAGGCATCCAATCGGAAGGAGTTTTCATTTTTCTGTGATGTCGAAAAAAATTATCATGCTTCCGATATGTTATTTTCCAAGGCGATGTCTCATGATCCTCCAGTTTCATGTTCTTCTTATCTTATTACTCTTTCCAGGTAAATTTATACATTAATTATTTAAACATTGTTTCTCGTTTATAAGACTTTTAATTTTATTATTTCTTCTTTATTTTTTAGATTTTAATCAACTTAGTTTAGAGTGATATACTTTTGTTTTTTGTTTTTTTATGAGCACTGTTGAGTTCAGCATTAGAAATATTAAAATTTTAATTTATATACAAATAAATCTATACTTTGCTTAAAATGTAAATGATTTATACTTGTAGCTAAAGAATGCACCATGCCAGAAGCAAGTCAAGAAGGATTATTGCATTCTTTTAAAAGTTATTCAGATATAGCAATGTTTCATTATACAGTTCCAAAAGAGGTGCTCAGAGCTACTTGGCAATTTGCTGCATTTATGGATGGGCAAAATTGCCCAGAAAGAAAAGTGCATATGTAAACATCCTTTCTTTAATTTTTATTCCTTGAAAAGAAATGCTGGATAATGTAATAAATTTGCTTTTATTACTGTAATTTCTAGATACCTGCAATGGGGCAGTTACCCTGTGATATCTGTAAATAATGATACATTTCCTAATGATATGTATCCTAAGCGTAATCATACTATTATAGTTTCTGCAATTACAACATTTGAACCAAAAACTACTGCAATTGTACCAGTTTATGGACCAGAAGCTGGAGATTGGTTTGTTGGAGCATATTTGTCTCATTGGGATGAGAAAGTGCAACAACAGGTGCATCTTTATTTTTTATACTTTAATTAATTTTATAATATTTTACATTAATCTTGCAATTTTTCAAATTGTAGGGGCTTGGCCATAAATGCCACTATAGTATAGGTTCTGTAGCCATATGGACACAAACCAATAGTATTGAAAATATACCTATTGGTTACCAACATACATTAAGAACAAAAGAAACTACTTCTTATTACAAGTAAAGAATGTCATTATTGTATTCATTTAAAATTAAAATTAGTGTTATTAGTATATTGAATTCTCTCTTAGGATATACATACCATCAGGAACATGGAATTTTCAAGTAGATATTTGGGGTTGTAATTTCACTGTTTATAAGTCTCACGGTATACACGAGGTTTGCATTAAAAATATGGCTCTACAAGGACGTTCTCTACCTGTTTTCAATCACTCTGAACAAAATGAAATTAGAAATGTAACTGTGTTAGGTTCATACACCTTTACAGAGTCTTCTCCCTATGAAGACAGTTATTACTATTTGATGATTATTTCAGACAGTATTATTGAAGTAAATGTAAAAGTAGTCACTTCAGGTAAAGTTGGTCATCTATTATCTTTTTTATTTAAATTAACATCAAGTTTATAAATTATTTTTATTGTGCCTTATTTTTTCAGAATGTCCAATCAGAATAACAGAAAAGTCGTTTGTAAGACAATATTTGGATGCACCTTCATTTTCTAAAGCACTAGCTCAATTACACATGAAAGATCTAACAAAACATCGTTTGCATCACGATGAAAATAAAAATAACGAATCATTTTATAATGGGGTTGATCTTATGAAAAATCAATTCCATATACCAGATGAAAATTTTGATGATCCATGTGTCCCAAGATATCAACTTGCCCGAATAAAGCATTCACAAACATTCTCTGGTGTCTATCTATTACAGGTATTAAATGTTTAACATAACAACAAATATATATTATATTAATTATTAATGTATACATATAAAAATTCGATACTCAGGGTAGAGAATGGTTAACTTCTTGGGTAATCTTAACTGATATACATCCAGTAGTAACACAATTTAATATTTTACCATTAGTAGATATTGGTGGTACACTTGATATAAGTGTTCATTTGGAAATGGATAAAGTAAGTAGTAGTAACAGAAATTCGTATATGTAATTTTGTATTCAATTTAATTCTGATTATTTTATGGCTTTCAGGTATCAACAAGACAGCTAGTAAAAGTTATACTTTGTGTTCGTCGTGGGCGAGTTCCAGATAGAATTAAGGGTAATATTGTATGCGAGGATTCAAAAATGTTAATGAATTTATCTTCGTTCGATAAACATGACGGAAGTTTATTAATACCATATCCACAGTCAGATACTTGGTATGTTACTTTACATGCAACATGTTACTTTAACGGGTAAGATCATATTTTTAGAAATGTAAAATGAAGATTACAATTGAATGAACATTGCAAAATGATATTATTCTTAAAATAGAAAACCCGTAAATTGTGAAATGGAAGAAATTTTAGTATCGCTGGATATACGAACTAGGCAATGTGTGTTTCCTGGAAATTATCCATGTGGTCATCATGGACTTTGTCAAGAAATTCATCGAGATATTCTATATTATACGACGTGTAAATGCTTTGAAGGTCTGATTATTATTAGCAGTAACTAATTGTTGCTTACATAGTTGTTTTCAAGCATGCCAATATGTTTTATCACACAGGATACAAAGGTTGGGGCTGTACTGATGCTACTAGTGCCAATCCTGAATCCTCTCTTCTTATAACAACAATGATGCTCACTTTAAGTAATGGTTTTTTCATACCTGCTATATATTTAGCTGTTAAGCGCGGATTATATACTGAGGGATTAGTCTATTTGGCAACTATGCTTTTTTCGTCTCTGTACCATGCTTGTGATCAACATATTATGACTTATTGTGTTGCTAAATATGAAGTACGTAAATTGCTTTGTGTTACAATAATTATTTCTTCAATTTTTTTTTAAATACGTGTCAAATATTTTTATTAAATTTATTCCAGGTTTTACAATACAGTGACTTTTTTTCAAGTATATTAGCATTTTGGGTAACACTTGTTGCAATGGCTGAAATACCGATTCATTTTGTATCATTGTGTCATATGTTTGGAGTTCTTATAATAGCTTTTGGAGTGGAATCCAATAAAACAAGCCTAACTAGTATATTAGTACCTTTAGGAATGGGCATTATGATTCCAGTAAGTAATTTAGAAAAACTGTTTATAATAGTGTTATTTCTTTTTTATGTATTTTTCAGATGGGAACATATGTTTATCGTTGTTTTCATTTGAAAAAATGGAAAAAACCTGACCGAATTTCAAAGTTATTAGCAGGTTTAACATTGGCAGCCATAGGTTTATTGCTCTTTTCTTTAGTTGAAACGGAAGCTAATTATCAGGTATATACAATACGCATTACATTATGTTCAAAAAAGATGAAAAATTATGTAAACAAAAATTTATATTTACTTTGCAGTATGTTCATAGCGCATGGCATATGATAATAGCCATCTCATTGATATTTCTTTTACCACCATCGCGAATAGAGCAAATTGGTTCTTCAGGTAGTTCATTTAGCGACGATAGTGAATTACTTGATTATAAGGATTCGCCGGGTAGTCCAATTTTTACGGTAACCACTGGCCAGGAAAATTTGGTAATTGCCTCGAATTGAAAATTATATTAAAAATAAGTAGAGCAAGGAAACCAAATACGTACTATTGTTTAAGTTATTTGTGCCAAAAGAGTGTTCTAATTCTTTAAGCAAAAAATAGATTACAGTATTACGATAATCAAAATTAGAAAACGAATGTACATGTACAAGTATCATGTATATGTACATAAAATATTTATGTATAAATTTTATAATAGTTCCTAAGTAAGGATATATAAGTGATTATAGGGTAATCTATGTTGAGGTTTTCAACTTAATACAGCTCAACATAACATAAAACTACTTATAGCTATAAAAGCTGAATGAACTTACAAATGGTGCTACTCTATTCTTACTATGTTGTTTTTAGAATATAATCAACAATACTAATAGATCTATTTTTATATCTTTCTTATTGTTGGAAATTATATCTTGTCACATTAAATAAGTCACAAAAAATTAAGATCTATTTTTTCTAGAAGATTATGTCGCCAAACGATACCATCTAAAAACTGGTGACGGTTTATTGAGTTTACTACGTTAATATTTAAATCTACAGTTTCCTGTGTATATTCCGTAGTCTTCTTTGTAATCATAATACGATTTTTAGGTGAAGTACGTTCATAAGTCATTAGATGTTAAAACATTGATAGTATATATAAGTACAGATACAGTTACATATATTTCCATATTTTTTTATAGTACTTAATATACTGCTTTGCTTCATTCATTAAAATAATTTATTCCTCCCAAAAGCATTTTTATACACAAGGTATATGTTTTATGTATACAGTAGTACAGAAAAATATTAGTTACATAGATTACCCTATATACATTGCCATCAGTGAACTACATCCAAAAGTAATCATTAATTATATTTTATTTCTTACTTTTTAATATTATTTGTTGTATATAAAGAAATGTATACTGTGTGCATGTTCTGTGTAACTACTATAACTTTGGGAAACGTGAAAGTCTAAAGCAGTATGTATGTATCTTATTAAGGTAAAGTATCAATTTACACATGCAATATTGTTACATCTACTTTTCACATTTAGTCGTGTTCAGAGTTATGTAAGGGACCACAGAATGTAAAAGGTACTAATAGTATATTAGGAAATGAAAGTATGAATGCTGTGCCTAAATACAGATAAATTATTCGGAAGTAGAATTCAAATTTCAAAAATTTAATAACTAAATGTTTGCAATTTTAGTCGTTTTTGATACAAAAATTCTTATAGGAAATATGTAACAGTGATTATTTTAATTTATGTTATCAATAAATGTTACGTTTTTGATTTTGGTATAGACATAGAGATTTGCTATAGACCTCATGTAAGTGTTAATTTAATATTGAAAATTCCCAAAGTTAGTTCTAATACAGAAGATACACCCATTAACTCTATGTATAAGTAAACTAAAAAATTATATTTATATGTATACATGAAACTGTAAACTTTATAATTTTATCTTTTTTTTTATAACGTGATATTTACTGCAATATCTTATTCATAAGATATTCAATTTATAATCATGACCTAATAGAGTATAATTTATAATTATCATCGTTCATATTTCAAACTTTTACTACAATTTGCGTAAAATCATTTTTATATAGTAAATTACTAAAGTATAATGTTTACTTTAGTTACTATTCAAATACCTCACAATGTGTAAAGTGCCATCTAAGATTTCTCTTTCATCCTATGCCGATTATATTATAAATTTTATTTTTACACTATTGAAAAAAGGCAGGGTGATTGATAAGAGGGAATTCATACAATGCAAATCTTTAAAAGATTTATGTATGCTACATCACTTAAGATTTTAAACAAAGAAGAAAGGTATAATGATACCAACATTAATATTGAAAAGTACATTAGTAATGTGAATTGTATTATAAGTCTGTCATAATCTCAGAATAAATGTAAAAACTACAATATTTCGTATTTAATAACACGTAAGGAAATTAATATTTCATATTATGTTAAATGAATTGGTTAATATTTGGATCTAGTTTCCTATTAATATTTATTTTTAAATTAAAAATAAAACCACGTATAAAAATGTCATGAATGTAGCACCCTGTCCAAAATTATAGCATCATTATTTCTTTCATAATATAGTAACAGACGTTTATTATTTTTAAAAAAATTTTGTACCTAATTATTTTTCTTATTTCTTTCCATATACAATACCATTATTGTAATTCCAATAAACTAAAAATTTTCACTACTCTGTTCCACTTGTACTGTAAATGTTAAACATCTTTCTTCTCTTGTCAATTACATCCAGTACATGTTCATATTGTTGCAAAACGCACCTGAAATCATGCATGATACGTCCTTTTTAGAAATATGAATGTAGAAAAGTTATATAAAAAAGATGTTTAACATAAATGACTAAAATATTGAAAAAAGAAAATCTATCATTTCAATAAATGTGTTTAAATAATTTATATATTTTTACTCACTTCTCTGTTCCACACACCCCTATCCAATCTAATGCATTAATGATTATAGAATATTGGTTTCTTAAGTATTGTGAAATGCATGATAAATTTATTTCAATGTCAGTCTTTTTCTTTGGCTCATAAATTGCATTCATATAACAAGATTCAATTTCGTCGCTAAAAATCTTCCACACCTGAAAGATTTCTTTATTACTATTATACATTAATTTCTTTTCATGATAGACACATGTATATGATATTACTATACCTGTATCCATTTATTTTGTAATAGGTCCCGTAAATTTTTCCTCTTTTCAAATTTTTGTAAAGCGTAAATTGCTTCGATACCTTCTTCTATATTTTTTACATTTTCAAATATATCGTTAATTAAATTTACTACCATATTCTCTAATTGTAAGACCGCGTACCTAAATCGCCTAATTTTTCTAAGCCAAATAGATTTCGTAACATCAAATATAATGTCACCGGACATTATAATTTCATCTAAACTTTCATGAAACAAAGATTCAATTTCCCGCCAATATGCTTCGTAATCGGTTCCTTTTGGACCTCCAATTAACCCTATTTTATTACCCCTAATAAATAATACACAAATTATGACTAATCTACATAGTTTATATATTTCTCTTTTTCCTTTTTCCTTTCATACCTTCCAAATACAATTAATGCTTTACAAATTTCAATAACGTCATAGCATCTTTGTTTAAAAGTATCAATTTTGTTGAAAACTTCTTGTTCATTAACGTTCCATTTTTTATCAGGTTTTATGTAGGATATAACATTTACCGTAAGCTAAAAATGTAATTAAATGTTAATGAACTGCTACATGATAAATAAGTGAATAAAACATGAAAAAATAATACTTGATTGGGAGCGTACATTATCATAAATTGTTTTATAAATATTACAACAGAATATACATTTTTCTAGCATCTGTATCCCCATTTCCGGGTTATTTCCAAGAACCACGTCTAATTCGATGTATTTTATGCATTGATGCATTATCTGAGAGCTCATCGCTTGGCATAATGTTTCCATATTACTTCTGTAAAAATATTCTACTTTTAAATCTGATTCTCGTATTTAAATTATTGCTATATAATTTATTGTTCTTACGTAGTAGAATAAAATGGCGATTCTGCCCAAATGTATAATATTAGCAGCAATGCTTCTGTTACAGAATTTTCAACATCTTCTGGAATATTCAGTTTTTTACAAAAATTATTTAAAATATTCAAGTACGTCAAATTGGACGACGCTTCTTTTAATCTTGCATCGATGCGCAAAGTCAATTCTCCTAATGTATTTGCACTAGGAGAATGCAAAGTTTTCAGTATATCGATTATCGATCGAACTTCGGCGTTAAGAAGTTGAGTACGTAAATGTTTTAAATTTGTATCTACAAAAAAACATACCTCTTGTAATGAAAAATTAAAATAGATGTTTTAAAATAGAAATTGAAATAAAAAAAAGTCACTAAATAAATATGAAGCAGTTAAATTAACTAACTAGTTACTAACATTTTCCTCGTTGATATTATTGTTGCTCTACGCAATTGTCGAATCCAAAACAAAATTATTTTTTCCAATCTGTCGACTAATTTTCGTTTTCTTTCGTCTTCCTCTGAGAAAAGAGTTGTTTCATTTTCGCCCAACAAAAAATAATCATTTTTGTCCGATGCTTTCGAAAATGTCTGAAGAAGACGTTCCTTTGGTACGTATAATGCAGTTAAATCCATTGGTTTATAAATTTCCTCCATTAAACGCATCATAAACTCGTGTAAATTTACGAACACGTCATTTCTTACAACTGTTCATTATGGAAAATTGTATTTGCAACAATGGCCTATAATTAATTTTGAACAAAATAACGATATAAAATAATAAAATAATAAAAATTTGTAATATTTTATTTGGATACATGATGCATAATCATCGCTGTGAAGCACAATCGGTGCATATATATTTTCCATAAATTTGAAAACAGTATTTTTAACATTTTTGTTAACACTACCGAATGAAACGGTATTACGAAAATTGTCTGGTGTGTAAATTTGCCATGGAGATCTCAAGAAATATGTAAATCCTTCGGATGATTGTACCGGAATATTTAATATGGCGTTTAATTCGTTTTTCTCGTAAAATATACTTAGCACTATATTTGAAGGACTTTTAAAATATTCTCGAATTATTTCATCACAACATTCGTTCCAATTCAGATAATCGCAGAAAAAGTAATGTGTTAAATCTTTTACATGTTTCACCTGAGAATATTTAAACATTCAATTACATAATAGCCTTAATAAAAAGTTTGAATTACTGTTACTTTTGTAAGTGTAGTTTGAAAAACGCGCCATAGATGTCACTGCAGTGAAAACAATCTTATCAGATTGATACCTACAATATTATATGTATGTATCATCATGTTGAAGCAATATTTTATCCATTTAGTAATTGTAAATTGTATATGATATTGTGTATAATTTTTACTTTTAATTAATGTCAAATTATGTACGATGTTCATTCTTTACATGTTTCTAAAATATCAGAATATTAATAACAAGTTTTCCTTATTTAAACAGTAAGTCATTGCTACATTGCAACTTTAGAAAACAACAAACTTTTTAATTTTTATTATAAAATAAAAAAAAAAAGATTGCAGATGCTTTGCAGCATATTATCTTATTATCCCCACTTTAAATACCACGTGTTGTGTACGCAATTGAAAGTGACGGTTTAATAAGAGTTAAGATATCGACTACAATAGCTCTACTAACTAAAGTAATCAACTCCTCCTCACTATATACTGGTTTTTCGGGTTCTAAAGGAAGTTCTTCTTCAACTTCAGGTGATTCTGAAATATAGTTAATTATTTTGAAATTAACTCTTAATTACACCAAGCAAAATCTCACTTTAACAGAAATTAAAACTTTTATCCAGATTTTCAAGACTATTTTACGCGTATTCTTAAATCAATTAAATAATAAACAATTTACAATGCATCGTTCACATTGTATATCTTTATCGGTTATTACAATTTGCATAAGATTTGTAAATGCGCGTACATAATTATTTTACCTTGTCGCCCAAAATCTTCTTCATCAGTATCCATATCTAAAAATTCTCTATGATAATCTACCATTTTATCGGCTTTTTTCGAACCTTCAGGTTTTTGTTCTTTTTTACCACTCATATTTATTTATTTTACGCGATACTTTTTATTTACAAAGATAAATATTAAAGAACGAATATCAAAATAATTGTATCGTTTCACGACACTGTCTTCACCTTCATTGTTATATCGATATAATCAGCGATACTATATCGTATTCAGTCATATTTAAAACCATACGTATTAGTATGTCAAAAATATAAATTGATTTATGTATCGAAGAATGAATAATAAATAAATAAGTAAAAAGAAAAATTAATTGATAATATAATATATGGAACACTATTTGAAAGAGCGACAAAAATAAAAGATTTTCATAACTTGTTTGTGTCAAATTTACTTTATTCTTAAATATCTACAGTTGCAGTAAATCTAGAATATTGAGAAAATACAGTACAATGTCTGCGTGTGCAAAAGAAAAAATATTTATCGGTTCATTTATTCATACCAACGAACGTGGACAGTTGATTGTCGTTGATCATGGCGCGATACATG